CCCTAAATCACGAACCGGCCCGGCCGGTTTGGGCCCGGTTCCGGTTCGTTTTAATTTATTTTCAATTTTTTTTTGTTTTCGAGTTGGGCTGGGTATTTCGGGCCATTTGGGGTGGTTTGGGGGTAGGGGTGGGGGGGTTAACTAGGAAAAGGGGAAAAAAAATAACTAAGGCCCGAGGCCCGGCCCGACCCGGACCCGGGGAGTACCCATGCCGGTTCCGGGCCCCCCATTTCTGAACCGCCGGCCCGACCCGGGCCCGAACTGGCTCGAGTCCACGCCTATGTGAGTGTGTGGTATGTTATTCTCCTAGCAATGTCTAGAAGCTGTGCGTTTCTAATCGGGGTAATCGATCTGGTGAAGCCTTTTCAACCTTTTTGTTTTGATGTTTCAAATACTCGCCCACCACTTGAACCGCCACCTCGCTCTAGGAAGAAGAAGATGATCAAGCGGATCTCCTTTTTGGTGGCTGGTCAAACCGATGCTTCAAGAAATTTCTACTCAACTTATTTCCCTTTAAAGGTTGCTGGTCAAACCAATTCTCCATTTCCGGTGGCTGGTGTAGCCGGATCTTTTAGTCATAATATTTTAATTTCTCTTTGGAGTAGCAAGAAGATCAGCAAGACTGTTAGACTAGATTACATTATTGCGGGGACGCGGGGTTAGCGATCTGGAAGCATTGAATCTGTTCCGTTCTATGTCTCATCTAGAGATGGACCCGGGCCGGGTCAAGGCCCGATCGGGCCTCGGGTCTTATAAGGGTAGGCCCGGGACCGGCCCGGTCAATGACCGGTTCCGGTTCGGGCCGGGCCACCCGCCCGGGTCACGGGTCGGGCCACCCGCTGGGCCGGGCCGGGCCAGTATATATTTTTTTTAATTAATTATATATTATACAAATTGCTATTAAAAACAAAGTTCAAGTGCATTTATTTGAAATAAGAACTACATTTGAGAATTGAGAAAAAAATAACAATACGAAATACAATACGAAAAAAATATCAATTGGGATTTCCGCCACCGTTGGTTGTTGTTTTCCCTTTGTCACAGGACTTCATATGTTTTATTGGCATCCCGTATCCGTATGAACGCCCCAAGCAACACTCTTTCTTGCACCACCTGCAAGTTGCCCACCACAGTCCGGTCTTCGGGTCCTTCCACTTGTCAAAATTGTTTTGCATAAGGGAAGATGTACTTTCCATATTTAAAATGGTATATGTATAAGTAGGAATATAGGATAATAAGAGAAGATGAAGATGGAGAAGAGTTTGAGATTTGAGAAGAATTGGAGAAGAGGTGTAGAAAAATGTTAGAAAATAGATGTATTTATAGATGTTTTTGAACCCCACTCCCCACACCACCACCCCCGGGACCCCCCTGCCCCCCACCCATAGCCCCAACGGCTATATAGCCGTTTGGGAGGTTTGATTTAATTTTTTTTTTAAAGTTATACACATATTGTAAAATAAATTAATTAATTTAATGAATTAAGTAAAACTAAAACTATTTGTACTTAGAAAAGTGGTTTGATTTATAATTTACAAATGTTACAAAATAGGTGTATAAGTATTTAAACAAATTACATATTGTAAATGTATTTTTAATTTAAAAACTGGCTTTATATTTTAGAAAAATAATTTTAAGTCGTTAGATTGTAACCAATTAATTAATTTGAGAAGTGCTACATATGAAAAAGTGAACACATATTTATTTGAAATATGAAGTACAAGTTTACAAATTAATTTGAAGTACAACTACAAATTTACAATTTTGAAATATGAAGTACAAGTTTACAATTTTGAAATATGAAGTACAAGTATAAATAAATTTGACAAGTGCTATAAAATACATTTTATAATAAATTCTAAAATACTAATCAATCGGAATCTCCGGCATAGGTAGAGCCACCATCGGTTGTTGAGTCATCCATAAAATCTTGGAAGGGGGTGATGCTCAATTCTTGAGTTCTACGTGCGGCCTTCAACCAATCGTGGTAGCATATAAGCGTCTCAAGAGACTCCGCGCTCAATCTCGATCTAGATGCCGTTAGGACGTTGCCGGCCGAACTAAATTCTTGTTCCACAGCAACTGTTGAAACCGGCATTGATAGTACTTGCTTAGCCATCCGTGCTAAAATCGGGAACGTTCTTTCTTTTGACTTCCACCAGTCTAGAACGTCAAAGTCATCATTTTCTTCAAAATCAATTTCATATGTTAAATACAAAGTAATCTCATTCAATGCGCTTTGTTCAGTGACGTGAGTTGTTTTAATTTTTTTCATAAGATTGCCAAATGCAGATTTAAAAATCGATTTTCCTTTAGATGAAGATGTTCGTGACGGGGGAGGGGGAGCGTTGCTATATTGTGCACGAAACTCATTAAATAAGGCATAAAATAAAGTACTAACCTCGTTGTATTCCGTTTTCGGATCTATGGGGTTATCGTCATACATTGGAAATTCACCGAAAAACGCAAGATAATAGAAGTTGAAACAATCTTCCAAATTAGCAAGTCTATAACGAGGATCGAGAATAAATGCAATACCATAAATATGGGGAATATGCGCATAATATTTTAAAAACTTTTCCTTCATATGATCACAAAAATAATGAACGAAACGGCATTCTGAAATTCTTTAAAAGCATCGGCGAGATTAACAGCTTGTGGAATAAATTGGTTTGCGGTAGGTTTATAAACATGACTAAAAGTTTCAGTAGCATTAAAAAAATATATCAAAACATTACAAATTTTTTCGCAAGTGTCGATCTCAGCCGCGTTTATAATATAGTTATCATGTTCTTTTAAAAAAGCAGGAAAATGTTCTTTATATCTAAGAACAACTTTAAGTAATTTATAAGTACTATTCCAACGAATACTCAAATCTTTAGGAAAAGCAACATATCTCACACCACTTTCAGTCAAATAACTTTGCCATTTTAATCTAAGTTGACCATTACCCCAAATACGTCTAATCCCCCCCTTTATTACCTCCATGGAATCTCCTAACGCTTTTAAACCGTCAAGCACACATAAATTTATAACATGACATGCACAGCGTTGATGAAAAAATCTATCCATCAAAGAATTGGCACCACACAACTCCCGCAATCTAGGTATAGCAGCAGTATTATTAGTAGCATTATCGAAACCAATAGCAAACACCTTATCAATCAAATTATACTCAATTAAAATACGCTCAATCAAAATATAAATATGTTCAGCGGTGTGACGATCATTAAATTCACGAAAAGCAAGAACACGTTTATGCATATTCCAATCCTCATCAATATAATGTGCAGTCAGACCCAAATAATATAAATGATGAAAATCATCCTCCCATATGTCAGAACAAATAGTAACACGCCCATCAATGTTTGCAAAAAAATTTTGTAATCTTACCTTTTCCGCATTATAAAGCCTTATTATTTCTTTCTTAACAGTTTTGCGACTATAATTTCTAAATTGAGGATTTAAACTACCTTGTGCATAATCTCTTAAAGCAAGACTTTTGAAGTACTTTAATTTAGTAAAAACTACTTAAATAAAATGTTAAGTACTTTAATTAAATGATTGAACTACTATTTCTTCCTACAAATATAAATTGAAAATAAGAAAATGTGACTTTAACTATAATGAATTAATGACAATTAACTAGTTTATTGAAGTAGAGTTGTTTTAACAATTAATGAGAATACTAATGAAGTAAATAACTAGAATAATGAAAAATGTAACAACAATGCTAATTAACTAATTAACTAGTATAATGACAAATGTAACAACAATGCTAATAAACTAATTAACTAGTATAATGAAAAATGTAACAATAATGGTAATGAACTAATTAACTATTATAATGATAAATGTAACAAGAATGCTAATTAACTAATTAACTACTACAATACTAGATATAGTAAGTAATATATAATATAATGTTTATAGTATATAATATATAAGTATACTACTATAAGATGAGTAATACACTTATATTTTATACTTTAATATATAAAGTATATATTAAGTAGATGTAGAATGTATGTATTAAGTGGATATAATAATTGTATAAGAATTAAATATTAGAGTATAATGGAGAATTGGAGATTGGAAAATAAGAAAATAAGTATATATAAAATAGATATTATAAAGTATATATAAAAGTAGATATTATAAAATAAGTATATATAAAATAGATATTATTAAGTAGAGAAGTAGATATTATTATGTATTAAGTATATAGTAATAGTTTATAAAGTATATTTAATACTTTATTATATAAAGTATATATTAAGTAGATGTAGTATGTATGTATTAAGAAATATAAGTAGAGATTAAGTAGATAAGAAATATAAGTAATATAGTATATGTATTTATAAGTAGATAATTAATATATAAATAGATATAATAATTGTATAAATATTAAATAGTAAAATAAAATATAAAGGAGAATAAGAGAATTTGAGAAGATGAATATGGAGAATTGGAGATGAGTAGAGAGTAGGATTTAGGGAGAGTTGGAGAAGAGGTGTGAAAAAATGTTTAAAATTAGGAGTATTTATAGGTTTTTTTTAACCCCCACCCCCCACCCCCAAACGCCCCGGACCCCCCTGGTACCCCCCAACGGCTATATAGCCGTTTGGGAAGTGGCTGTTGAGCCAAAATGTTTTTTTTCAAATTAAAAGGAATTTTTTTTTTTAAAAACTGACCGTTAGGCCCGGGCCTCCAAAAACAGGACCCGAGCCCGGACCCGCTACCCCAACCGGTTCGGTGCCCGAACCGGACCCGAGAACCGGGCCGGTTCCGGGCCCGTACAGTGACGGGCCGGGCCGGTCCCGGGCCGGGCGGCCCGAACCGGGTCCAAGCCTAGTCTCATCCCATTGTAGCCTCAGATTATTCATTCTCTTGTATTTTTGCTATCGCTTATTAATAAATTAGTTATTTGATTTTTTTAAAAAAAGTGATAACCCGATCACATCAATGATATCAATTATCAACCTAATGACTATCTGTGTTCTGTAGAAACATTCACCCCAAATTAGCATAACAAATAGCAAGCCACAAAGAAAGAAAAAAAGCAACATCAATTCAATCAGTTCAATCTGCAAACTGAGACAGCAGAAAAACCACTATGTTCCAACTTCCAAGTAACAAAATGAAGCCACAACTACAAAGGGGAAAACAGGGATTCTTGTCATACCAACAAAACCATAATCTTAAAAGGCACCAGAAATGTATTTTTATCCCCCGATTTTAATCAAAGCAAAAGTCACCAAGGGGACCCCCATGCCTCCAATTCTATTTCTATAACTGAATACTTCTCTAGAGTCTAGACTATTATGTATAAAACCATCTAACATGCTCCACAATCCATGAAAATAGACATTTGGGAAAGTCAAGGGGGATGCAAAAAAATCCACACTCCAAAAAGCCACTGGAACATCCAAAGATGACAAGGCACATATCTTATGCACAAATGTTTGGAACTTGGAACAAAATGGACATAGGGAGGGGTCTATGCGGGGGTGTAAAGTATCAGCAGCCGTTTCAAAACTCAAATTTTCCAGTTGGAGGAACGTCCCCTCTCATTACTCTCCAAGGCCCACCATAAAATATTGGTTTCATCAAAGGTACTGATTCTCCAGGATGATCCTCCCAGTATTTCTCCTGATCATAATCGCACAATTAACATTAATATAAACTTCTTGGATGAGAGACAAATATAAGTTGTTTATGAGTTCTTTCAAAATGAAGGTGGCAAGGTGCAACAAATTACGCTCCCAAGAAAGTATGAACCTTATAGAGTTGTTCAGTGATGGCTGCACCAATGACACCAGTATAAAAGGCACAGATGTAAACTGTTACAAGCGGAGTAAATGTCTTTGGTCTTCTGTATGGCTCTACCATGTCCCAAAGAATTGTCCTTTCCCATTTTGTGTACAAGTAATCCGCATATTTTCTCCACAAGTAAGCTGCCATTTTCAAACTAAGCTGAAAAAAGAAATACTCTTTCAGTTCGAGAATATATAACATGGACATATATAGTGGGAAAATTATTAGCAAGTTGTATAAAAAGTATACCATAAACTATTATGTCTATTCAAGAAGAGCACTAGTTTTTTTTATCATCAAATCCAACGAATATATTAAATCAATATAATGTTCGTCACATGGCTGATAACACAATTAAAGAAAAAGAAGTAAATAAAGTGATAAAAAGAAGAGCACTAGTTTAGAACATAACTCAATCGTTAAATATAATCTAAGGTGAGGAATAGCTATTGAAAAACAAGGCCAAGCACCATGAATAAACTTAGTGAGCAGTGACTAAAAAACTACTCTAAGAATAAAACAGTAAATGCCTTGACCTTGTTTGCATGTTGACAGATCAATTAGAAGTTTAGAACAAATTATAGCAATACAAATCTCATGAGCTAGCAACTAGTCACAATCAAGAAAGAAACTTTCAGAAACCATGATCAAAGAAAAGTATGAAATGCTTTCTAAATTTTATCATCCACAGATTTTAACTTTGATCTTGCTAAATACTGCACATAACAGTGGTAGTATAGCACCATACAGCATGTCGACATGGAACCACTACTAAGATAAACAGCTTACTAGGAAAAACTAGCATACCATTAAAGAATGCTAGGTTAATGTAAACTAACAACAAAATCTATTTATCTATAACAACGGAGTAGTGGGAGCCTGGGAGGGGCGAAATGAGCTGAAAAGGTAAAAGATTGGGCTGATCAGATAGCTTCTGCTGAATGTCTATTACTCATAATCAATGTTCTAAAACTCTCTAGGTGGTAGTTAGGCGGCAATGCACTTATGCACTGCCTAGCGCCTAGGGCAACTGGGCGCCAACTCGGTTGTAACAAAAAACTTCAGTAGCGAAATATACCAAATACAATACACTACAATAAATAAGTTATATTGAGTATAAGAACACCATTTGATATATGTACATCTAAAGCATACACGCCTGGGAGTTGAAATGTGTGACAAAACACAGAAAACACACCAGTCTCCCGGTTAATGAAATGAGCTGAAAATAGCACCTAAATAGCTCATATTGCAAAATAAACTGGACAAAACCTAGCATCTCAACTTAAGAAGCTATAGTCAAAACTTGCAGCATTCTTTGAGGAATTGTATCAAACAACATGGTTGCAACTCGCAAGTTCCTTTCAAAACTAGATTATCAACAGAAAGGAACCTGAAAACGGCCTGAGAAGAATGGAAAGAATAAAAGAAATACATGACAAGTCATTAGAAAGCTGAAATTGGGAAAAGCTTTCAAGCCCGTTGAGAAGAAAATTGGATTGGGTACATGGAAAGACTGAGAGGAGATCGAAGCTAATAGTCAATTCCACATTCTTATTACATAAAAAGTATCTCGATTAAATGACATTTAATAGGAAAATTAAGAGCATATTTTCAAAATTATAACAATAACTAAGTAACTAATATAGTAGAAAAAATGAGATACTTTACTGGCACACAGGGGGCGCTGAGTCTGCAGCCTAGGACGGTGATTAAGGTCAGCCGGCAGTGGAAGAGCAGAAAGGGTGAATGTTAAACTGAAGAGAAAATAGAATAGCCTCAATATTATCATCACTGTTCAAACAAAAAGATGCTTTCTCATTTAACACAAATGCCTTGCATAGTTTTTGCACTTATAATTTGAAACATAAGAAAATAAATTTAAGTACAATAGAGAAGATGGCCAATTTTCTCGATCCAAGTGTTTTGGCCCTCCGTACCGTGAGCTACCTATTTAAGTAGAAGGAAAAATAAACAAATAATGTGCATGCTTGTAAAAGCAAAGAAACAGACTTACTTATGATAAAATATTAAATATTTAGAAGAAAAAAACTGTTGACGTTTTACTATTAATGCATAAAACTGCAGTAAAGGATTTTTATGACAAAAAAGGAATGGGATCGTCTTAAAAAATTGGGATGTGGCCGCTACAATTGACGCCACATGACATCATGCCATAAGGTCCACTAACTTAATACCAGGTAGGCAATGTTCTATATTAAAGGTTTTGAAAAACAAATGTGTAATTAATGCATCCATCGTAGCATAAACAGAGTGTATTAATAGAATCATGTCCCCATGAGAACTAAATGCAAGGAGCTAAATGAATGTCAATCGGAATAAAGTCGATGTTTGCAAATTTAATGTGTTACTTGATACATATGTATAAATGATAAAACTTAATAAACAAAGAATGGACAAGGATTATATGTTTAAGTTCTGAATTGTGGAATTCCAAACTCAATTTCTTCTAGTTTTTTATAGTTAGTTTCAAGATTCATTTTGGAGGTTAGCGAATCATAGTACTCCATACTATAATAGTTTACTATGAATAAAACTCTGTATTCTCTAATAGAGTGAACATATAATAATGTGAAAGATTTGTCCTTTTGGGAAAAGGGAAGTTAGGCAAGTTACCTTCTACGCTATAACTTTGTACTCCGATTACAGAAATCGTATTAAATGGAAATGTTTTGAGACTTAACTCTGAATACTTATTGACATGTTAAAGCATAAAACTATTAACGGTGAAATGAAAAAGCAAAGAAAACGGTTATTATTAATTCCAGCTAGTTTACAGCTCGCTTATTGCTAAATATGATGATGTGAATGACATGTGATACATCATTTCCTCTCGTATCTACATAAGAATATTTATTAATTGAATGAATAGTGCTAACATGACTAAAAACTAATGCATTACCTTTGCATGTATCGTATATGTAAAACGAAAGTCTTTATGAGCGGTATACCCTTATAAAGTGGTTGGTTATAAGATTTGGTATACCCATCCTTCTTTCCTTGTACTTATTTTATTATTAACACAAAAATGCTCAAAAAGTGTGTGTTCCATCGTTTTATATTTTTCCTAGAAAAAACTTTGTAGGCATTTCATAGAAACAAGCTAACTGATTGAGACGGCTATAACATATATCTTCAAATTGTATTTGCAGAGGCTTGCAATAAAAAACAAAAACGATAAGCTTTGTTTTAACAACAATATGCTCTTAAATTTCTAAAAGATGCCTACAAGATCAATCTTTTCTAAAAGATGCCTACAAGATCAATCTTTTCTCCTTCATCTAAATAAAAAGAACCTGAGCTAAAAAGGAAAATAGAGAAGCAACAAGAGGAAGCTGAGAAAGAACAGTGACGCTAGGAGAAGGAAATGGCTGATTTGGGAAAATAACTATCTTTACAAAAACAAGCTTCACTCATTGAAGGCTTTCTTAAAAAGAACAAAAATTTCTCAACTTCTCAAGATGAAATTTTTTTGAGCAACGCAATCTCTATGTATCCACTTAGGAGAGGGATAATATGCCTGAATTTGTTACTTCATCAATGGACTATTCTTTTACTTCAAGATGGAACAAGTGCAGAAGAGCTGTAGAGGTTATTTATTTATTTTTCTTCATTTTTTATGCAGCTTAAATTATATTTTTCATATTCTCAGATTAATAGTTACTTTTACTCTGTTATTTGTTGCCTCGTTGGTGGATTGTTCTTGAAACGTAATATTAATATTTTTATACTTCACAGGTCACATATAGACTCTTGGCGATGCTTGGGTCATTTAGTTCATTCAAATAGAAGTTCTCGAGCTCACTGGGGGCTTCATCATGGACCCACAACTGAAGTTCTCAAAGATCTCAAGCTAACTACAGGTGAAGGGCTCTCTAATTATAATGAGATAACTGAAGTAAAGCTTTGTGATAGATTGTTTGATACTAACAGTGATAGCAAAATCTGGCACATGAATCCTAAGAGTTCGTCGTCTGTTCCCAGAATAGGTTACAAAGTTTAAAATTGTTGCAGTTCGATAAGAGCCATAGGCTGCAATTTATTGTGTTTGGCCAAAGAAAAGGTGACCATACTTAATCTGTATGCTTTTTGTTGGAGATTCATGTTTCTTTTTATGATGGGGTGAGGGGGTCGGATGTACGCAGCCTTACTCATGTACTAAAAGACAGAGAAACTGTTTCCGGATGACCCAAGATGAAAATCATGTCAAAAATAAATAAATAATTCACTAAGCCTATTAAATTATTATTATATTATTATTGGACTCGTGACTATGGGATTGAGATGTAGCTCAGAAGCCACTGTGTAATACTTAGTTGCTTGTGTGACATCATTAGTTGTCCAGGAAAGCATCAATGAAGAATGAGAACGCAACTTGCCTGAATGAGGAAATCTGTGAGTGTGTTTGATTATCGTGATGAACCATACTTACATCTTCATAATTAGCTCCACTTGACAAGCCTATTTTGTCATCATAACTGCCCAAAATGGAAAAACTCTTACACTCATACAATCAATATAAAATAGCCAAGTATAAAGTGGGTGAAAAGTAAAAGTTGTGGTTGAGGTCAGATAAAAATAAATAGAAATGATATCAATCATATATTTCTTGTCAAAAAGGAAACCGAACATTCATTTAGGGACAATCCAAAAAGGAGTGTAAGACAGTCAAAATGGGGCGGAGGCAGGAACTATTTGAGCCAGAGTGAAAAGGACTTCAAGACTTTTAAATTTAAGTATACAGGTTCAGTGATCAAGATGACTACGACTCTATGAGCCCTATTATAACCTTATTAAGGCCATACACATACCTACTATTCTTTGCTAGGCTTAAACAAATTAAATGACATGAGTTATGTCTTATGCATCCAATGTCAGCCTCAGGACATACATAGAACAAGAATATTGAATTACCCCAAGTGAGCTTCCTTTTTGCTCAAGTATATTCAAGCTAGCAGTACGAGTAAAGTCAATCAGTTCAAGGAAATATCATTTCTGGAAAAGTCCATTACTCCAATACCTAAAATCTAAATGACACTATTGAAAACAACAACATCCAAGCCTTAGCTTAAAAATATTTTGGGGTCAGCTAACATGAATTGATACATGATATCGGAGTCAAAAGGAAAAAAAATAATTACAATAAAAAGATAAGGTATAATAAAAAAGATAATACAGAGTATAAAATAGAGATAAGATATACATGAAAATGATAAGATACAAATGACTAATGAAACTGATAAAAAAAAAGTACTTTCAGAGGTCAGAACTATTTATATTAGCAATAGCCAACAAGGTACGAAACTAGAATAAATCACCTTGTTGATGCAAGAAGTCGACCAGATCGTGAAAAGTAAGCAGAATGCACAGGTCTTTTATGGTGAATAGTTCTCAAAGGTTTGAGTTTATTAGAGCCAACATTTCTCATATCCCAGATACAGACAGTTTTGTCAGAAGAGCTTGTAGCCATAGTATTAATATTCTCCGAGTTAAAATCTATAGAGTTGATCATGTTTCCATGTAACTTCCTAGATGATGATGATGATTTTCCAGCTCTCAAATCCCATATTTCAAAATAACCACTTCCCTCTGCGAAATATAATGAATTCCTATCGCCTGGACTTTGACATATAGCATGTATAGGAGAGTTGCTTATATATATCGAATCAAATAACTCCTTCTCAATGTCCATCAACTTGATAAACCCATCATAACAAGATGTAATCATCTGTACACAAGGTGCAACCATAAATCAAACCAAAACCTTCAGCCATGAAGATTTTTAATGAAAAGCAGAATGAGTTAATCATTTTCATTTACCCCAGTGCCGCAAAGGCTCCCACCTATGGTGGGGTAGGGGGGGGGGTCGGATGTTCGCAGTCTTACCCCTGTACTAAAGAACAGAGAGACTGTTTCCGGATGATCCATAGTGAAAATCGCGTCCAAAATTGCATGGACTGACTGTTGCTTCATAACAAAGAAGCGCAGACAGTTTAGTGAGCCATTTTGCTTTATTCCATCATATTCTCAAGCCAAAAAATAATGAATCTTTGGCTCCATTGCAAATGATGGAAATGAAAAGCAGAATGAGTTAATATATTTTAGAAATGTTCAAAGCCCGTTTGGTGACACTGTTTTACAGCTTATCAGACTCATCAGCCAACTTTTTCACAAAACACGCAATTTTTGATATGGTGCGATGAATTGTGTAATAATAAAAAATGTGAGGTCGGAGTTACTTTTATGGCTCTATTGACTGAAGTTACTGTAGAGAATTATTTTAGCTATTTTTTCATATAAAGTTTTCTATATTTTATTAATAAAATACATTTTAAATATAATTTTTTCATAAATCAGCATAACTAGCCAATCCAGCGGCTTTAGCTAGAACTTCATAAATTTCAGCAGAATTGGGATTTGGGTATATAATTATTTTCAAGAAGCACTTCATATTTCCGATGAGTGCACATAAGCCTACATTTTGAAAATCTTAAATTATTTATCACAATGCAAATATATATGTGTGTATAGATCTAACCTTTGACCTTGTAAATGGTTCAATCACTATCCCTGATACTCGACCAGAATGAGGTTGGTAAACATAAAGTCCCTCTCCATCCTCCTCTTTTGCGTCAGCATTCCAGAAACCTATATTTCCATGCATGTTTCCTGCGACAACCATTTTCATCTCTCTTGCTGGGAAAAACTTCACATTAAGTATTCTTCCTGGCACAACCTGAGCAATACTTTCCGGTTCCAATCTCAATGAGTCTATATCTACTGAAAATGAAGGCCTGGTCATCTTGTCAACATCACAAAAATTAGGTTTTTGATCAGCCTTCTCATCCAATTTTGGCTTTCTTGATAAACTCTTAATTGTTTCAATTAATTGCTGGTTTGAGCCTGTAGTAACACCCCTGTAAGCATCTTTCATATTGATAGGTACAGGCTCTCTAACCAAATTCGACAGTGAGTTTTCTTTGCTTAGTTTATCCCTGATTTTGGATCCAACAAGGTCATGTCTCAGGCCACCAACTGTAGAAGTATCTGGAGGCTTTCCTCGAGTCCTTAGAGAATGACGAAGTGGAGCTTCAGATTTTAGCCTTTTATTATATGGTCTTTTCTGCATCCTGCAGTAGTAATAGAAGAATACATTTACTCAGAAATGGCAACACATCCCTGTGCTATGTACATCCAAATATGAAATCAACCACATAAATTTTTACACAACCAGGCAAATTTACTACTCCTATAAATTACAGATCACTTTTTACAATCCAACACACACATATACCTGAAGAGTATCTCTAAAGAGAGTATAAAATCTAATGTTTCCTCTTTTGGTAAAGGAAACAAAACAAAAGCAATATGATATGTCCGGCAGGTTTGACTCTGTACGGTAGGATAGAGCGAGGCGGAAATAAGAAGGAGCTGGAATACCTGACGGCGGCGGTTGCAGCAGAGAGATCTGATACGTGGGAAGGAATTTTGAAGGCGACGAGCATTTCCTCGTTGCGCTTGATGTTTTCCAGTCTCTTACACTCGTAATCCGTGAATTTCTGAGAAGGAGCCATTAGAGAAATCGGAATACTGTCGGAGTAGTGTAACTTCCAGAAGTGAAGAACAAATAGGCGGAATAAAAATGGGGGGAAAATGGTTAACAATGACGGCGGGAGAAAGGGTTAAACATTGACGATATGTATCGCTCTCTGTCTCAGTTAATAATTACGGAGTAAATCAGTAAAACAATGACGGCGGGAGAAAGGGTCCCTTATCCAGACAATATTTAAATCACTTAATTCGATTATATTTTGAAAATGGGTTTGATGTGTGTATACTAGTATATGGTGATCAAATTGTTATTATTTAAGAGTATTAATTGTTTTTTAAAATAAAAATGAAAAGTAATACTACATAACATGGAATTGGGAACTTTAAGTTGGGACTGATTAATTAGCTTATTGTGTAAGCTACTTGATAATAAGATTTTTACTACTAGGTATTTTGATAAGTAGTTATCATTAATGAATTGAAGTAAAGTATTAGCTAATTGATAACAATGATTTTTTACTATTTTAGTAAGCTGCTATCATTTGGGGTCGAAGTAAGGTATTTAGGAATTTAGTTATTTACAATTAGACATTAAGAAATAAAGTGATCAATAATGATACAAAAAAAGAGATACTATTTTTTACTATACTTTTTGCATATATTCTTTTGATAAGTTTTGAATTTTTTTAAATAGCACATGCTATTACTATTTTATATAATTACTACTAGTACTATTACTTTAAACAAGTATATATACACACATACCCACACACATTCATTTAATTTTTGTATTACTGTATTATTACTATCTTAACTTTTTAAATTTTACCAGTTTTAAAATAATGTTATAAAACGTGACTGTGTGATATAATATTTATTGTGATTGCAATTTTATTGTTATTTAGCAAAAGAAGTGTGATTAGAAGGTAAATTAGACTTTTGAAACATCAAATCAAATGGATAATATGAAAAACTACTCAAAACAGTTTTTCATTTTTAGCTTATTTGCATAATAGCCAAAATGTTGTTTACCAAATCCAGTTGTTTGGCTATGCCAAACATTCAAAATCAATCTAAAAATTAAAGTCAGATAGGCCATTTACAAATGCCTTCATTGTTTAACGAAAAAAGATGAAATTCACATTAATAATCTCTACTTTGAGCTGTTCTACAATAATAATCCCTACTAAAGAAATTGATATAAATAATCCATACCTTTAAACACATTCAAATAAATAGATTAAATGAAACAGAGGTAACGCTTCTGTTTGATATTACCCCTATCCCATCCATGATCCATCCCACCTACCAATACCATCATCCTCTTCTACGTATGCCCATCTGACCATCTTCCTCACCGGCTGTGCTCCTCTTTTGTTTTCTTTAACAAGCTTTTTATGTCTGCCGAACACTTGATTTTTTTCATACGATGTTATCATCACTTTTAGTTATTCACTCTCTGTCCTAATGATTTATCATATGGATTTGATTATATTTTTTTGAATGTTAAATTGTATGATTGGAAAATTATAACACCACAATCCCTAGCTAATTTTAAAGGTGAATAACCTCTAAATTTAGAGGAGCAAAATTCGTTAGTTCCAATACTAAAAACTACAACTATCAGTTCTCATGAGTAAAATTGAAGCCCCAATGTATACACACATATAATGCTTCATCCTCTGATTCTTGAGCCCCCCTCCTGGGCAAGCAACAATAATAGGTGAAGTACAAAGCTCACCCAATTGAAGTACGGAGTTCAAAATGCAGGTTATGCGAAGTTTGACTAAAATGAAAAAAAATACTCCGTATATAATAAAATAAAAAACTGCTGAAGCTTGAGAGGGGGGGGGGGGGGGGAGAAGTAACAACTTACCGGGAGGTGAGTGCGTGACAGGGGATGGGGTATATGAAGAAGAAGAAAAAGAAAGAGGCAAGCGAAGAGGTGCACGTGATATAGGAATATCAAATGAACCGTTAACTCCGTTTCATTTAATCTGCTTATGTGAATCTATTTACAAGTTTGGATTATTTGCATCAATATCTTAAGCAGGGATTATTAGTATAGAACGGCTAAAAGTATAGATTATTAGTATCAATTCTACCAAAAAAAGATATTTCTTATAAAACAATTTACTTTCCATGTTTGTAATCACAAAATTCTAACAAAGATAAGTAAAAGCCACTCCAATTTGTGCAAAACTCAAATTAACACAATAGCATTCCGAAGAGGAGGCAGAGTACACAGCTGCAACATACGATGCACATGTTCCGTGAGTGATATTATAGAGGATGGTTTCATCCCAAAAAAGGATTACAAATGCTAGGTCATATACACGCAATCGATATTATATTATCAACTATGTCCAAATACTAGTGAAATGGACTCCACAACAATATAAACAATCCATATAATTCTATATCTTGTTTTGGATACAAAAAAAGGACTTTTCGAACTCATATACTTTTGGAAGTATATCTAGTTAAAGGAAGAAGTTCAAAAACCTGTTACATATGCGTGCAAAAGACAAAACAAAGTCTTAAAAAAGAAGCAAATAGGTTGTTATGTGAGCTTGTAACCTCACTAGCTTGATAGTAAAGTTGCTAAATTTTTCGATCTTCATTATTTTATGACATACTTACTGTTTTTGTTTTTATGATTGGACCTTTTAATCACATGCATTAACAAATCTATCATTTTAATGAAAATAGCTTTAATTGATGTGATAACACCATTCCAAAATTCCAATTGCATAAGTGATAACCCGATCAATACTAAAACAAAATAAGAGAGCCGGCCCTTTGATGGGAAACCCTATGCGGCCATCCCAACCCCCTTCACGATCCGATTTTGGAAGATGAAGACATTCTCTATGCAATGAAAGATCAAATCAAAGGTATTTCTATGCTTTCGCTCTTTTTCAATTTCTGTTTTCAAGGAATTTGGTCCGGCTTCTTCATTGGCCGAGAATTTTGTCCGCTTCATGTGAGCATAGGGGTGGACTCGGGGCGGGTGGCCCGACCCGGAACCGGCCTGAACCAGCATTGTTCTGGCCCGGTGGCCCGGTCAGTGACCGGTCCGGGTAGGCCCGACCCGCTGGGGTTCCGGTCCGGTCCCCCTAAATCACGAACCGGCCCGGCCGGTTTGGGCCCGGTTCCGGTTCGTTTTAATTTATTTTCAATTTTTTTTTGTTTTCGAGTTGGGCTGGGTATTTCGGGCCATTTGGGGTGGTTTGGGGGTAGGGGTGGGGGGGGTTAACTAGGAAAAGGGGAAAAAAAATAACTAAGGCCCGAGGCCCGGCCCGACCCGGACCCGGGGAGTACCCATGCCGGTTCCGGGCCCCCCATTTCTGAACCGCCGGCCCGACCCGGGCCCGAACTGGCTCGAGTCCACGCCTATGTGAGTGTGTGGTATGTTATTCTCCTAGCAATGTCTAGAAGCTGTGCGTTTCTAATCGGGGTAATCGATCTGGTGAAGCCTTTTCAACCTTTTTGTTTTGATGTTTCAAATACTCGCCCACCACTTGAACCGCCACCTCGCTCTAGGAAGAAGAAGATGATCAAGCGGATCTCCTTTTTGGTGGCTGGTCAAACCGATGCTTCAAGAAATTTCTACTCAACTTATTTCCCTTTAAAGGTTGCTGGTCAAACCAATTCTCCATTTCCGGTGGCTGGTGTAGCCGGATCTTTTAGTCATAATATTTTAATTTCTCTTTGGAGTAGCAAGAAGATCAGCAAGACTGTTAGACTAGATTACATTATTGCGGGGACGCGGGGTTAGCGATCTGGAAGCATTGAATCTGTTCCGTTCTATGTCTCATCTAGAGATGGACCCGGGCCGGGTCAAGGCCCGATCGGGCCTCGGGTCTTATAAGGGTAGGCCCGGGACCGGCCCGGTCAATGACCGGTTCCGGTTCGGGCCGGGCCACCCGCCCGGGTCACGGGTCGGGCCACCCGCTGGGCCGGGCCGGGCCAGTATATATTTTTTTTAATTAATTATATATTATACAAATTGCTATTAAAAACAAAGTTCAAGTGCATTTATTTGAAATAAGAACTACATTTGAGAATTGAGAAAAAAATAACAATACGAAATACAATACGAAAAAAATATCAATTGGGATTTCCGCCACCGTTGGTTGTTGTTTTCCCTTTGTCACAGGACTTCATATGTTTTATTGGCATCCCGTATCCGTATGAACGCCCCAAGCAACACTCTTTCTTGCACCACCTGCAAGTTGCCCACCACAGTCCGGTCTTCGGGTCCTTCCACTTGTCAAAATTGTTTTGCATAAGGGAAGATGTACTTTCCATATTTAAAATGGTATATGTATAAGTAGGAATATAGGATAATAAGAGAAGATGAAGATGGAGAAGAGTTTGAGATTTGAGAAGAATTGGAGAAGAGGTGTAGAAAAATGTTAGAAAATAGATGTATTTATAGATGTTTTTGAACCCCACTCCCCACACCACCACCCCCGGGACCCCCCTGCCCCCCACCCATAGCCCCAACGGCTATATAGCCGTTTGGGAGGTTTGATTTAATTTTTTTTTTAAAGTTATACACATATTGTAAAATAAATTAATTAATTTAATGAATTAAGTAAAACTAAAACTATTTGTACTTAGAAAAGTGGTTTGATTTATAATTTACAAATGTTACAAAATAGGTGTATAAGTATTTAAACAAATTACATATTGTAAATGTATTTTTAATTTAAAAACTGGCTTTATATTTTAGAAAAATAATTTTAAGTCGTTAGATTGTAACCAATTAATTAATTTGAGAAGTGCTACATATGAAAAAGTGAACACATATTTATTTGAAATATGAAGTACAAGTTTACAAATTAATTTGAAGTACAACTACAAATTTACAATTTTGAAATATGAAGTACAAGTTTACAATTTTGAAATATGAAGTACAAGTATAAATAAATTTGACAAGTGCTATAAAATACATTTTATAATAAATTCTAAAATACTAATCAATCGGAATCTCCGGCATAGGTAGAGCCACCATCGGTTGTTGAGTCATCCATAAAATCTTGGAAGGGGGTGATGCTCAATTCTTGAGTTCTACGTGCGGCCTTCAACCAATCGTGGTAGCATATAAGCGTCTCAAGAGACTCCGCGCTCAATCTCGATCTAGATGCCGTTAGGACGTTGCCGGCCGAACTAAATTCTTGTTCCACA